GAAAAGAAAAAAAAGAAAAAAAGAAAAAAAGAAAAAAATTCCAATTTAAAAACAAACTTGAAAAACATTCACCAAACGAGTGAACAGAATCCCTCCAAAACTTCAACTCAACCAGCACAAAGAAAACTATTTTCTTAAAAGATTCAGAGCCACCTTCACTTTGCCTTTTCTAAATAAACAAAACGGTAAACTATTTTGTACAGAGACAGCAAAATCATGGTTTATTAAAGGACAGTGTTACTCCAGATAACACGTAAGTTTCTTCTTGCTTTTCAGAGATCACGCTTTCCTCCTTTCTCTTCCATTCCCCTGCCCTTCTCTTTCCTTCACCTCTCACTTGTAAGATATTATTTTATCCTATGTTGAAAGGAGGGGGAAAGTCCCCATATATGAAAATCGCTTTCTTTTTATTCATGGACTTGTTTTAAAGTGTAAATTGCAATATAGTAATTTATTTTTAATTTGTAGTTGGATGTCGTGGACCAAACGCCAGAAAGTATTTCCAAAACCTGACGTTAAATTGCCTGAAACTTTAAATTGTGCTTTTTTTTTTCATTATGAAAAGGGAAACTGTATTAATCTTATTCTATCATCTTTTTTTCTTTTTGTTGAACATATTCATTGTTTGTTTATTAATAAATTACCATTCAGTTTGAATGAGATCTATATGTCTGGATACTTTAATACAGCCTTAATTATTATAAGAAAAAAGATTTCAGATTAAAACACTAGAAATTACCTATTCTCCTCCTAAATATCTTCAAAATGGAGAAGCCCTGTGACTATTCCTTGTCAAATTTCACATAAAAGTCTCTTTTTGTTTAGATTTTTTTCTTCTTGCAGCATCTTCTGCAAAATGTACTATATAGTCAGCTTGCTTTGTGGCTAGTCAAAAGATACTTTCCTAAACAGATCTGAGTTGGCATATACGAAAAAATATTTTTTCAGTAAGGACAGAACATGATCTGGAAATTTTAAGCCCATGAATCAGCAGCGTTATTACCACAGTGATACCTGTGTGTAGAGATATATACAAATGACTATTTGGCTTGTGCATCATATAAAAAATCATGATGTGTGTTATACATCCCTGTGAGCCAAATGCTGGATAGATATTTCTCCTATTAATTTCACTCCTTTGTAAGAAGAAAAACCCGTTTATAAATGTATATAACTCATCCACATTTACAATCCTTCATGTGTTACAAAGAAGGGTTGATTTAAAAATATATATGTACTGTGGGTTGGAAAGGGATATTTAATCTTTGGGAAACTATTTTAGAAGATGTGTTTGTAGAACAATTATTTTTTGAAAAAGATTTAAAGCAATAAGAAGGAAGGAGAGAAGAGCAGAACATTTTAGTCTAGGGTGGTTTCTTTTCAATCCATTTTTTCTTGTCAATTTACAGTTAAACCTAGGGGGCAATCCAGATTGGCCCTCCCCCTTTGTAAATAACCCAGGAAATGTAATAAATTCATTATCTTAGGGTGATCTGCCCTGTCAATCAGACTTTGGAGAGATGGCGATTTGATTACAGACATTCAGGGCCTTTCAGTTTGTTTTCGAGATAATACAGTTTCCTGCTATCTGCCGCTCCTATCTAGAGGCAACACTTAGCAGTAATTGCTATTGCTTGTTGTCAAAATTTGATCATTGTTAAAGGATTGCTGCAAATAAATACACTCTAATTTCAGTCAAAAACTGCTTTACGTGGCCTCTGATTTGCTGGGTCTCCTCCCTCGGAGTCGTAACCTAATAGCTAGAGAAGATTGCAGCGGCCCAGGGCACGGGTGTCTCTCCGGGTCAGGCCGGCTGGGACTCGCTTTGCTGCGTTTAACTCCCCGCTCGGCTGTCTCGGCCCTAGGCTCTGGAGCTGCCTCGGGTTACCCCTTGCGGGTGGGTGGTGAAGGGAAAGAATCCATTGACAGATCTCATAGTTTGTGCGCTGGTCCACTTTTGGGAGACGAGTTGGAGCCAGGATTTGCCGACAAAGCGTCCGGTGGCTGGAGCTGGGTTGTCTAGGCCCGGATGGGAGGCGGCAGCAGGTGACCCACGGAATGGCCCTGTCCTTTCGGACTGGTGGCGAATCCCAAGGCCCAGCAGCTCCGGCAGCCAGAGACCTTACATTTCTCGACTTGCCTGGTTTCAACCTTTTGGACTGGGGACATGGCCCACCCGACTGTGGCCCACCCGAGGCTTTCCTGCTGGGGCGTTTCTTCGCGGCCCTGGTCCTGCCGAGTAGCTCCTGGCCCAACGCCGGCCTCCGGGACGCCGCTCCCGGACGGGAACGCTCTGCAGCTAATTAGCTGTAATTACCCGCCGCGGCCTGGGCCCGGCTTCTGTTTGTGTTTGGAGCTCCTTCCTCCCGCCCCCCACCCCCTCACGCCTACCCTCGCCCCGCCGTCTCCCCTCCCCGGCTTCTCGCTCTCCTCGCCGCTGCCTGCCCCCGAAAAGAGGTTGCTTGGGGAGCAGAGAGCCCGAGGAGACCTCTGTTAGGTGTGATGGATGAATCACAAGTTGGGTCGTAGGTGCCGGGAGGACCGCGCTGAGCAGAAAATGGCAAAGAGCAGGGCTGTGTGTGGAGGGACGAGGGTCGCCGAGCCAGGAGGAGCGCTTTCCAGCCCTCGCGGCGGGGGCCGGCGGAGCCCGGGGAAAGCAGCCTACCCGCTCCGCATCCCGCAACTCTGCCTCGCGCCACCTGGCCTACGGCGCTCCCTATTTATACTCCTCTCGCGCCGCCTTTGTTGTAAGGACACACGTGTGTTTAGGTGTTTAGCCAGGGTAGAAAGGTCACAGGCACTCCATCGCGCCCGGGTGACAGGGCGCCCCGCAGCCTCGGCAGCCGCGCTGTTAGAAGGACAACTCCCATCCCGCCCCGCCTCGGCCTGGTCGCCTGGTCGCGCCGGACGTGCCCGGGCCAGCGCTGGGGCCCCAGGCGGCCTCCTCGGCTGGGCTGTGTCCTTGCGCGGCGTGTGGGGTCGGTTTACAGGCCACAAATCACTTGGCGGTGGCCGGCGCGGGGAGTCGCTGGGCCTAAGGGACTTGGGAGATATGCAAGCGGGCAGCGGGTTCGGCGAGTTCGGGGTCCACGTGCTCGCACCCCTCTGCTTCTCCCTGAGCCCGGGTTTTGAGGCCGGAGCACGTCGCGTCCTCAGCCAGCCCTGGGCCTACCCCAGCCAGGCTCTTGAGGGCCCGACCTAGCCGCTGTGAGGGGTGGGATGCGGGACAGTGAGGCAGGCAAGTGGGGAGGGCGGCCTGACCAGTGCGGCTGCGTCTGCCCCCGCGCCCCGAGGGAGGGCACGCGGCCTGCACTGGAGAGGACTTTCGGGGGTGAGCATGGCGGGGGGGGGGGGGGGGGGGGGAAAAGGGGCTCGCTCGGGGCTGGAGACCATTCTCGACTCCGCCAGAATGTGGAGTGGGCAGCGGGCATCCCTTGCTCATCCTTCCTTGGAGCCTGAGTTCCTGCAGCTGGAGAAGGATCCCGGCATTAATGCGGTGCTTGGACTGAGGCAGCCCGGGAGGAGTTCTTCTCCTAAGCTCTCGGGAGTGTTTACACATTTGCCTTGGGACAAACTTCTTAGCAATCGTTACTGCCCTCTTCGACTGCAACGTTTGAAAATTAGTCATGGCAGATATATATGTCTGGGAAGGTGTTTGTGTTATACATATATAGTTATAGCTACAGGAGTTGCCTTAAGTCATAGCTCAGGAGCTATGTCAGAGTGGAAGGTCAGAAGTTCTGCTCATTATTCGGATTTTTTAAACCATATAGGTAATGTTTTCAATTCTCAATACATGTGCTTTCGGACTCTCGTCTTAAGAAAAACAATTACCGCTGACCTTATTTAATCTGGGGGAACTACTTGTTCCTTAGTGGTATTGCACTTTTTCAGCAATAAGGATATTTTTTCTGTAAAATATTATAAGAGAAACTTCTTGCTATTTTAGCTAACAGACAGTACATTTTGAAATTAGCCCTGGACACAAGGCAGGATCTAATGGTTGGGAATTGGCTAATTTTGAAATTAGCCTCTGTAGAAAGCTCTGGGATAGTATTTTGTCCTTTATGTAGCAGTGGGTGCATTTATTTTCTTTGCAATTTATACAGTGAGCAAGTAAATGCCAGCATGTTACATGCCACATAAAAACTTGCATTTTGGCATATTGCATGTGTGGTAGGAACGCGTGCTGTTTTCCAGGGTTATGTAGTTAGCAGTCTTTATTTCACCAGACTGCATGCAAACAAGCATGCATTTTACAATTTATCATTCCACACAGCTTGTGTCATTAATAATCGATGTTTGCAGAGGAATAAGGCTCGATTGTGCTGGTGGTCTGTAAGCTCTTGGCTGTTTCCTGCGGGGGGTCAGAAACAAGGGTCAGGAAACAAGAGTGCCTTATAGCCCTATCGGGCTCCCCTGAACTTTGATAGGTAAAGAAGAGACATAGGACCTTTCTTTCCCACCCTGTTCCCTAGGGAAGGGGTCTCAGTTTTAAGATGGAGGGCCTTTTCTTCATGGCACAAAATTCCAGAGAGGCCTTGAACCCTCTGGTGGTCCAGGCTGCCTGGCCAGGTTGCCCAGGAAGGACAGGAGGCATCCATAGTGCACCCAGGTCCTGGACACCCATACCGGTATTCTCTACAGCTATTATCAGCACTAGAAACAAGGCTGGTTGGAGTAGCAGTTTCTTTCTACACTCCACATCTTAGAGCTTCTGGAGAGGGGCCCCCTTTGCTTCTGAACCTAGTTCCTACTACTGGACCCTGCCTTCTGTCCCAGGGCCTTCTCTTTAGACTTCTCTTAATTCATTTCAGAGTGGGCTCATGAATCCATTAGCCCTTCCCATTGGGTCATAAACAAATGTCACGTTAAGGGCAAGATTGATAGTGGCCATGTC